CTTCTTTAGGACAGATGTGTTATTACCTTTCTTACCTTTCTTTGATCTCTTTCTTAACTCTTGCATATATTCAGGGAATACTAAATATTTATTGAATAAAAACACTTAATAGCAATACCTTTAATATCTAACTTACCTTTGTCTTTTTTTTCATATTTTTAAAACTATTGGTGCAAAATATGTGAACATTAGGTCATTAAAGACAATCCTGCCTATTTTAGTTTAAAGCATCTACTATTTTTCTGGAACATTTCTGGAACATTGTTGTCGTTTCCCTGCTGTTAGGTAGCCCCAGTGCAGAAAAGCAGAATGTACTGGAGTTTTATATCAAAAAACTCCCCAAAGTTGTAGGTATTTTAATGTAGTATTTTAATAGACAAGATTTGAGCTGTCACCATTGCTGTATTTTTACTTACATGTTAATCCTCCCAAAGATGGAGATGGAGATATGTTTAAGATGTCTACTGACCCTGTGAGCCATATAAATTTTATGATTATATGAAGTTCTGAATCTCCTTATTTTGAATTTCCAAAAGAAAGAAAATTATCTTGTTTAGATTTGCTTAGAAAAAGTTGAGTTTTGATCTTAACTTTAAAAATTATTATTACTCCATTTATTCTACAGTCGAAAAATATACTCTTTTTATTGGAGCACATCTGGAGAGGGGAATTTTAAATACATGCTGCTCTTAGAGATAAAAATTACTTCTTGATTTTACCTCAAACCTCGTTACTTTGCCATAACCTTATCTTAAGTTCTTGATGCTACTTCAAGAGATCCTTATCCATTTTTTGTACTTTTAAAAGCATCTAATGTCAGATAAACACAAAACACTTTACCACCTTTGCAGTCAATCCTCACGTCACTTACATTCCCATACTACTTGTGGGAGCTTAGAGAAATTAACTTCCTCAGATTTGTGAACTTCATTCACTAGACAGCATTGCTTTTCTATGAACTTAGTTCTTTGTCTGTGTGCTCTGTTACCTCTGACTCTTTGTCTCTGTCTCTACTCTACTGTCTCTCTCTCTCACGCATCCTCTTATATACACATCTACACACCTCTCAATGTACTTGGCCTCTTAAAGTTAAAAAGACTCACTAGTAATATCCACAAAATACAATAGGAAAGCATCTCTGTGACAGAGGAGAGGAAAAAGAAAACCTAATTTTCATCTTGTGATTTGAAGGCTTCAGCCAGACTTACCAGAGTTTGCACAGATGTGCACTGGACACTGCTACCTTCTCCCGGGGACTTGTAGACAGAGCACCATGTGGTTAAGCCCCAAATGACTTGCCAATTACCTGATCATATTCCTATATGACACTGTAACTTGGAGCCAAATGTTGACACACTCATTTCATGAAGAAATTTCTATGCCTAGTGAATATTCCAGCATTCATATATGTAAATCTGGAATTATTAAACTGTCCAAGTTCCATGGCATATTTCTCCTTTTTATGCTATCAGATTAATTTGGTAAACTTATCATGAATACGAATTATACAACCCAATTACATAGTATATTAATGTAACCAAAGAGAACAAAATAAGTGATTGAAATTTAAAAAAAAAATCTTAGTTTTCATTTATTCTTAAACAAATATTTATTGAGTACTAAATAATAATTACCTAAATGGTAGAGATGCAGTTGTAAACAATTTTACAGGAATTGCTGTTTAGCTAGGAGAGCAGATAAATAAGTAGATAAATATGATTGGTGTTATGATAGGAGAAGAATATGGAGCCTTGAGAATTTAAAACAGGTGTCCTTTTTTAAGCTCAGTGTCAGAGAATGCATGCCTACCGAAGAAAAGAATACTTAGACATAATTCTAAAAACTAATTTTAATCCACCAGGCAGAAAGCTAAGAGTATTCTAGACAGTGGAGATGTTTTTTAGAAAAATCAG